CACTGCCCGCAGTCAGAGCAGCAGCTACTCAGATAGGCAGGTGTCATCCCAGAGCACAACAAGGAGAGAATGTAGAGCCCTTGTAGAACTCTGGCATGATCTGTAGAAGGGTCACTGGGGCTGCAGTGTGGGATGTGTGGTGGAGGACAAATAGTCCTTCTTGCAACCCTTGATGCTACAGTTTCATCTGTGGATGGTCAGAGCCTCGATGGCTTGGCTCCAGGCTCCCTCACGAATAAAGCATGCAGAGATACTGAAACTCCAGCTGTTGTGCCCAAATTCCTTTCTGCCGCGGGGAAAGACAGATTGCTCACAAAAGGGCAAGTGTGAGTGGCTGGCCACGGAGATTTGTTCTCTCAATCCATCAAATATTTCCATGTGCTTCATTCCAAAATATTGATGTGTAGAGCCTTGGGAGTTTTATATTTAGCAAGGAACATAAATCACAGATGCAGGGGGGCAGCTTCTGTAATGTTTCCTGGCTTATCGACTGCACCACTAATAGCTCAGAGGGGCTTGTAAATCGGACTGTGAATTCCACAGTACAAGCAGTGGCGAGGAGAAAGCCATTTACCTCTGGTGGAGGCTGGGAAGCACTTTCTGGTGACAGGTCCTGGGGCATATCAGGATCCTCCTGGCAAGGCTCCCAGGGGGCTGTGAGGTGTCAGTGAAACACGTGGGACCCACTCATTCACAAGCCTGAGGGTGACACCAGCACATGGATTTCCTCAGACATGCTCAGAGGATCTTTGTGCTGGCTCCTCTTTTTCTTTATTCTTTGTTCATTTGCTTAGCAAAGAAGCTTCACACAGGTCCTGTTCCTTTCACTGGTTGGTGGCTTGTAAATCCAGAATATCAGATAAATTGCTTGAGATCTTGGGAACGCTCATGTGAGCAGCATCAGCCTTTCCCTGGCTGGGAGAATCATCAGCCTTCCCAGCACACTCACTGGTGTGCTGTTGCAAGGAAGACTTGAGGTCTTCTCCTTTGTAATTCATTGTTTTATGCCTCTGAATACCCAGTGTTTAGTTTAATAATAATTCTTTGTATTCTTGTAGTTCCATCCATCTGAGCACCAAGAATTGATTTGCCAACATCAAAGCCTCCATCCTCTTGTATTGAATTTTGGCATCAACTTATTTTCTTAAAATCCCCATTCTGACAGATTTCCCCTCTAGCAGCTTGTCCTGGCCTTTAAAAATTCTTCTAAGTAGAATCTGAGAATGGCTTTCCTGCTTCCCTCTTGAGTTTACAGCAAAACTTGCCAGCAGTGAGAAAGTGTGCATCCAAAACAATGGCAGTAATATGCATGAGGTCCTGCCAAACACAAGGGGTAAAATGCCTGAAGGAGATAACCAAATACTTGCTTATTGTATTCACAAGGCTCGCTCACTAACAGCCAGATTATAATTTTAGCAATAGGAGGTACCCAGCTTTGAACAGATGGGATCTGCGAGCTGGCACGTCCCTCACAGAGCTTCATTGTGACCCCATGTGGACAAGCGCTCGCATCACTGAAGTCAACACATCTGCACCAGGGCTGAGGAGTTGCCTGCTAGGCTAGCATCATGGGAGCCTGTGCTGGGGGATGCAGATCCATGATGTTATTGCATTCAGTTATCTCAAATTTAGGCAGAGCCTTGGTTCTTTTTAGGCCCTTGGACCAAAAAAAAACCCCAAGACCTGCCTTTCCATCTCTTCCCAGCACTATGGAGCTTCCTGATTTTTTCTTCTTGCCTACCAGGACCTTTGCAGAGATTTTCTAGGCATTAATGCAGGGAGTGAGACTGAGCGCAGTGATCTCCCTCAAACCTGAGAAAACTTGCACGTGGTATGTTGCAGGAAGAGTTTTGTCAAGCACATTTTCCTTTGTTCCTTTAATTGTCCCCTCTCCTTGCCTTACTTTAGAGATGGCTGCCCATGCAGCCCCAGCATCCACAGAACAAATGTCTGTAGGGCACGGCCTCTTTGTCTGAACCGTACCCACTCTCACATCATTAGCGAGCTGACAGAACCTCGCGCTCTAGATGCCCTTCTATTGTGCAATGGGATTTGATTCCATTTACTTTCCGTGAACTCTGTTAACTTTGTGCAGCGCTCTGTTTGCGCTCCTGTGTCTATTTTAAAATGACACACCTTGTGGACTTCTGTCATTCAAAATTTTACAAATACTTCACCCTGATCTTTTTACGACATGTTGACTGTCGAAGCTAACAACAACATTTTGTCATGGTCTTTTCTGCTGCCTCTGGCAGAGCTTATTTAACTCTTTCTGCGGTAATTAATATTTCCTTATATTAAGAGACTTTCCTTACCACAGATCTAGAAAGACATCTACTGCGCATCTATAAAAATTGCTGTCTTTATTTGTATTTTTGCCACCCGTGTCTTTTCTTTGGCTACCAGCTCTCCTGGATGTTACTCTCCCTCCAATTGGGCAAGGTTTCTTACCTGCATTACTGCTATGAAAGGAACCTTAGGAGTTTGGACCCCACAGTGCTGATGGAGGCATAAAACTAGCCAGGAATCGTGATCCTAGAGAACTAACAAATCTTTTTTGGCTCACTTTATGTTTTAATACCTTGACGTTGCAAAAAAAATAAATTATGGAAAGCTGTCCAAAAGTTTCCACTAGAAGCATTTCCCTGGGAACCTCATGTCTCTGCATGCTACGCAGCACAGTTCCATGATCCTGAGCATCTTGGGGCCATCAGGAGAACAACCTGTCATTCACAGCCTAACAAAAGGCTCCTCCTACCCCATGTTTAATTATTATCTGTGTTTGCAAGCATTTTTCCATGGAGTCTCATCATGGAAAAGGTTATCCATTGTCTATTGAAATTTCTTTGCTGTCCTTTCCCCCCACAAGCATTCAAAAAGCACCTCTCAGGCAGCCAAAAATGCAAGTCTGGAAAGAAATTTTGGATTTCCAGGATACATTTGAAGGAGAGGAAGTCATTCACTCTGATGCTGAAATTAAGGTGTTTCAAATTGTTAAAATTGGTTTTGGAGCTTCAAGGGTTAAAAACATGCATTCTAAAATGTGAATTGAGGGAATCTTATGATTTAGCAAAACTGCTGCCTGATAACACGCCCACTGCCTTTTGATGATAGGAAAGGAACTGCTGTAGGAACGGAAGAGGGTGCTGTCAGTCTCAGGTAAGATGCATTTAACAAAGCTGATAGCAGCCCAGATGGTCTCTCTTGCAGGAAGGTTAGGAAAAAGGAAGCACAGCATGTCAGTTGAACCCCAGTTGATGGGCTTGAGCTGCTCAGCCTGCTGCAGCTCCCTGCTCTGAATTCCACATGGTGCAGAGCCCAGCAACAGGGATGAACTTCTTGCTTGGCATCGGACGCCCAGAGGCACTGCATGGCATATTAAGCATCACGTAGGCATGTGATCCTAAGTCACTGGCAGCATCCCAGCAGAGTCATATTTCCATTGCATTCCTTGGATATCTCCCAGCCACTGGCCTGAGAAAGTCACTAACCTTCAAGTGCTTCATTGTTCTGGCAGGATGTCTCCATCCAGCTGGTGTCGCGTGACTTCTGCTGACCACTGAGCGTGCTCTTGCACAACTCATCCCAGAAACATCTGATCTAACAGACACGTCCTGGCAATACCATGCACCTTGCTCCTCAACACCCACCAGCAGGTTGCACATCTCTTCCAGCAGAGCAGCTGGGTGAGTCTTCCCAGCCACGGCACATTATCATCACTCCCACCGACAACCTCTCCTGCCTGAAAGCAGAGGAACTGCGGGCAGTCTAACGGATTTAAGGCTTTAGAATTTGCAGCGTTTGAAGAGAGGATCCCTTAAGGATGTAGGATATTATTTGGATATTAGGAAAAACTGCTTCTCAGAAAGAGTGATTACATATTGGAATAGGCTACCTAGGGAGGTTGTGCAGTCACTAACCCTGGAGATGTTCAAGAATGGTGTGGATGTGGCTCTGGGGGACATGGTCAGCAGGCATAGTGTGGATGGGTTCACAGTTGGACTAGATGGTTTTAGAAGTCTTTTCCAACCTTTATGATTCGATGATTTGAAGTTTGCTTCTGAAGAACAGGCCTGTGCTTGAGAAGGATGAGCAGCCCCACACATTCAGCTGTGGCTTGAGGAGCCTAAGGGCAGTTTGTCACCTGCACTTTGTGCAGTCTTGGAGAAGCACTGCAGCAGGTGGGTACTGTCTGCTGTGATCTGGTCAGAGACCACAGGTGGACACCTCCTGCCTTTGGTCACAACGGACAAGTAGTGAATAACTGAACCCAGAGGATGGACTGAATAAAAATGGGAGAAGTGGCTGCATCTACCTGAAGGATGGAGAGGAAGAGTTGAAGATGGTAGCGGTGAGAAGACTGAAAGAGGATCAACAACAATTAGGATGACACCATTAGCTGTCATGGAGATAATGTTATCCTCAAGCCTGACAGAACAGCATGGCTGTTGTGAGCTGTCAGCTCTCACAGCTCAGGGATGATACTGCTGTCAGCTAGAAATTCATACAGCCAATACATTTTTCTGATGGGGAATGAAAGGCAGGTGCTCTGCAGACATACAAGATACCCTTGATAGACAGACTTTTGGTTGAGGAGGAGGAAGACCTGAAGAAACCAACAGCTGTAGGAGGAAGAAGAATAGGTTTGCTGGGTGCAGGAGACCAGCTGTTCACAGAATAACAGAAGAAATGGCAAAATAAGTGACATTTGGTGCTGTGAGAACCAGAGACAGGATGAGAACCAGCTGACCTAGGATGGAGTGATGGATCACTTTTATCTCTTCATTTCCTATAATCCAGCAATTTTATTTGTACCAACTTGAGCTAGGAGTCAGGAAATGCTTCCCTTCCTCAAGCATTATTGCATTTATTTTGGTTTTGGGATATTAACAAAGAGACAGTAGTCTCCTCTGTGTTTGATACTGTTAAACTCTGCATAAGGTTGGAGAACTTGAACAAAGTTCAGTGACATTCATACAACAAAGGGTAGCATAGACTTCTGCCAGGCCTCTTATTTAATGTGCAGTAAGTAGATGTTACAATTACAGAAATGGAAAACATCCAAGACACTTGTAGAAAGCAGGCCCAGTTTAATTTTATCAAACTGATATAAAATGAAACTTAAATATACTGATGATATATATTAAAAGATAATTCTCCAGCTTACATGAAATTACTGATATATCATGTTGAAGAGGCTCTGTGCTGTCTTTGAAAATACGCAGAAAGAAAAAGACTGTCATCTCACACTTCCTGATATATGTGGACAGGAAAAGTCAGGATGAACTTCAGAGTCTGCTTCTTTCATGCAGTAAAACGAAGGGGTTGAGACAGCAGGCAACAAGCCAACCTGTAGGCACAAGGAGGGGTAGGACCAATTATTTAATGCAGAACAGGACATCCTGACTGGGGACCTCCATAAATCAAGCAGTGTGAAAGACAAGGAGGAGACACAAGGCAGATGCTCAGCTGGTGGGAAAGGGGGTATATTCCAGCACTGGATGTCTACTCCACATCCTCCTAGTGTTGGCACACAGGCACCTACCTACACTAAGCAAACATGCATCCAGTGAAGCTTGCCCATCGGAAGCTGGGGCCTGCAGACTTCACATTGCATCTGCAATCTGCATGCACAACCTTGAGCATATGGCACTGTACAGCACTCAGATTCATGATCCCATACTCTTTTTCAGCTGTTTTGATTCTGGGCATAATTATTCTGCTTAGCTGCCTGCCCTATCCAGTGCATGGCCTGCAGGCCTGTTTTCCACTGTTTTTTCCTTTTTCTTTTTTTTTTTTTTCCTCCTCCTTTTTTCTTTCCTGTTTTGTCCTGTAATCATTATTACTGAGTTTCCTTGTGGCCTTACCCTCAAATCAAACTGATGCCTATTTCTCCATAGCGAGCATGGGAGAGGAGGTGGTTCAGACACACAATAAAATAGAGAGGTCAAAGTTGCCTGATGTTTCTCACTAATTGTGGGTACCAAAATGAAGGCACTTCAGCTTCTGTTTCCCAAAGCTGCTGGCAAGCTTTCAGTGTTTTATACACTCAGCATACAGCTCCCACTAACTTCCTTTCCAGGTGTGCGTGCTTAGCACTGCCACAAACACTGTCTGCACGAAAAACATGGCATGTAGTGAGTGACAAACAAAGTCTGGGCTGAATGAACTCTGCCCAGAGAGGGAGGAGCACATCTGTTTCTCCAGCACAGCATCCCTCTGCCTCTCTCACAGGATGTTCCCTGCTGTAACATCATACTAATGGCATCGGGGCCACTCAACGCAGGTAACCCACAATGGCTTCCTCCTCCTCAGTCAAATCAGGCAGTGGTTTTATCAAAATACAGTATGTGTTCATGTAACTAGAGTGCAGCAAAATGCCTCTGAAGTTCACAGCAGAGGCATTCCTCAAGTTTTGCATCTCCTAGGCAAGTGATCAACTCTGCAGCTTTAACATGAGGCACCACAACAAAACCAAAGTTTTTTAGATAAGAACTGAACTAAATATTTTGTTGCATAGATTTATATTGATAAGCCATTTTGGCTGCCATGGAAAAGTTATTAGTTTCAGTCAAGTAATAAAGGTGTGCACTGCAGATCTGTCAGATTAGGAAAGCTGTTCTTTTCTTTGTAGACTAGCCACAGGTTGAAGAGAAAGAAGGTGTATAATCAATGAATTTGAAGATGTTATGAAACTATGAAATAAACAAGAGAGTTTGGTTAAGCAGGTTATAATAACAAAAAGAGAATAGATAGAATGCTTACCTGTGTCCTGAGCTTGCTACAAAACTCCAGAGGAGAGATCTCCAGAAAAGACCCTTTCCCACTGGTATTCAGCTCTTAAATGGGTCTAGGAGAGGTGCAGCCAGGCTTCACCCCTTCCATCAGCACAGGTGAAGGCAATTCACCTGTGCTCTGTGGCTGACTCATTGCTCGCCTCAGATGATCAATCAGAGGTTCAGGCCGTGATTCAGCAGTTCCCATACAGAAGGGGAATGAGTAGGACATTCATTCTGGGTAGGATTTTCTCAGCTATTTGCATTCAACAGATGGATAGGAAGACTGAGGTCTTGTATATCCACTTCCAGGGTTGTGATAGAGTTTGGGACAGGCAGTTGCACACCATTTTGCCACTACATCTTCTCTCATTTCTTTAATTCTGTAGACTAAAGAAAATAAATCAATTAATTGAAATATTTGTAATAATCCAGTCTTCACCTCCATATAGTTCCATAAGTGATACAAAATAGGACCGGGTTAGCACCTCTTCCAGATAGATTAATTTTTTTATGTTTTCATAATGAGTTTGGCCACTTAATTTTGGTCATTGTATTAAAAATATCTGAAGAAAGGCCAATTGCTTATGAATTTAAACAGTGTTCTCTGCTCTCGGTGAGTTTGATGTGTGGTCATAGAAAATAAAAATTGCACTTGGTTTTGCTAAGTAGCTATTTGAAAGTGATAGAGGTCTTTCCTTCACTCTCTAGGCTGCATCCGTTTCAGAGTGCCTCAGAGACGTTACCTCATTAATTTTAATGAGAAGCCCAGACGTGAATCTGACACAACCATAAATTGTTCTTTTTGTGTGTGCGTGTATGTGTGTGTTTAAAAGAGCTCCCTGTGTTACCCTGTGAAGGACCTGCCTGTGTTGTGTGCTGACGTCCACTATTTATGCACGTGTCATTCTGGCCTCACAACACAGTTCCCTTTTTATCCTTCAGCCACCCTTTGTGAATTACCTTCATGCTTCTCCCTGTAGTGTCTTCTGTGCAGATAGCTTATTCCATCTCTCAAACAGGAGCAAGAGGTTCTCCTACTCCAGACAGCCTCTAGATCAAAGCTGTAACATCACTCCAAAATACTCAGGCACACCTGTATGTTCTCTTCAGCCCTACCTTATGTCCTTGTTCAAGCTGCACATCCTCCAAGGAACCTCCTCAGACCCTCTTGAGAGGCATAAGCTGAAGGCTGAACTCAGGTTGCGCAGCTGAGCATGGGTGGCAGCCCTGCCAGCCTCAGGAAAGGAATAAGGGAGTTGAATGATGACTTCTCGCCCTCCTGTTTTCCATGTCTGACTGCCCAACCTGTTCTGTGGCTGACCCTTGAGAGGCAAGCCACCAATGGAAACTGTTGCCAAAGGTAAACCCCCTGCTCAGAATATCTGTAGTGGAAGAGATCTGGGTTTGTACATCCACCTATAGGAAGTCCTGGAAAAATAATGTCCTCAATACAGCCCATTCACCAGCTCCCATGAGATCAAATCCCAAGTGTCTGGTTTGGGCAGTGGGCATTGGCTGCTTAAGTGACATTGCCACAAGGTACAGCAACAATTTGTCCTTGTCGTATATAAGAAGCAAAATGAGCAGTGGAAGAACACTCACCACAATGTCTAAGCTCCTAGAATGCCTTCCTCCCATGTGCCTGCATTTCATAGGTGACCCATTTCCCCTTTCAGAAAGATCTTTGTTTCCTCCTATTGCATGACAGCCTCACTACTGCTTCCAGCTGTGAGCCATTTTTGACCCTGCTCATCTCCTCACCAAATTCTAATTCTACTCAGATCATCTCAGACTGGTGAAGAGGTGTTTGGTTTTTGCCCAGCTGGTGCCTATTTGCTCAGCAAATGCCCAAAATTTAGGTAAACTCTAACAACCTTCTCCGTCCTCATCGGTCTTAATTCTTACAAGTAGTTTGACTGTCATTAGGGTATTCCCATCAGCGAGAGGATTTATGTTGTTTTCAAACCCTCTCATAGTATTTAGGGCCACCCACCAGCTCTTTAAAAAGAGATGCTGCATCTGTTCGGTGAACAAGTTATGCATCTGCATTGTAAACTTTGATTCAACCCAGATATGCATGTGCCTTGGGCTTCCTCTGCTCTCTATGTCCTGATTAGCATCTGCTCTTCTGCAAACATCCCATGTAGCTTGGCAACATGGACTCTTCCCGTCCTGTGTGACTGCGTATGACTGCATTGCCATTTTGTCTTGATTAACATAGAATCATATAATCAGAGAACAGTTTATATTGGAAAGGACCTTAGAGAAGGTTTAGTTGCAATCTCATTGCCATGGGCAGGAACACCTTCCACTAATCCAGGGTACTAAAAGCCCCATTCAAATTGCTCTTGAACACTTCCAGGGATGAGGCATTCACATCTTCTCTGAGCAAAATGTTCCAGGGCCTCACCACCCTCATCATGAATAATTTCTTCCTTGTATCTACTCTAAATCTACCCTCTTTCAGTTCAAAGTCATTACCTCTACTCCTATCACTGCCTACCCTTGTAAAACGTTTCTCTCCAGCTTTCTTGTAGGACCCCTGTAAGTACTGGAAGACCACTAATAAGGTCTGTCTGGAATCTTCTCCAGGCTGAAGGACGCCAACTCTCTCAGCCTGTCTTCAAAGGAGAGGTGCTCCCACCCTCTCATCATACTCACGATCTTCCTCTGGTTTCACTCCAGTAGGTCCATTTCCTTCTTCTGCAGGGGCTCAAAGCTGAATCCAGTACTCTAGGTGGGATCTCACAAGAGCAGAGTTGAAGAGGAGAATCACCACTTTTGGCCTGTTCTTCACACTTCTTTTGATTCAGCACAGGATACAGTTGTTTTTCTCTGCTGAAATGCATATTACTGTCTCATAATTGAGCTTTTCATCAGCCAGCAACACCAAGTCCTTCTCCTAATGTCTGTTTGCAATGTTCTCTTCACAGTCTGTAATATAAGGGTAGAAAAGTTTCTGTTCATAATGACACTGTTTCAGAATTTGATGGTGTCTGTCTCACCTCAGTATCACAGGGCTACCTCTTCTTGAGCTTTATCATGTACATGTAAGTGGAAGCCTGAAGAACTTCTCTTTCTTACTTAGAATGTTCCAAGTCTTTGTTCCCCCAACTATATGTTCATAAATGCACTTTGGTTTTGTATGTCTTTGCAAACTGCCAAAAGCTGCATACTTTTCATGATATGGGATACTTTTATTGAGAGCTTGTAACTAAATAGCCTTCATCAAGCACATTGATTTCTGTTGCAACTGCTTCCATGTTTATTGCAAATTAATCTGTCCTCTGCTTTCTGTTTACCCTGGCTCAGTTTTTGTGCCCTGGTATACTTGTGTGAGTAGATTCAGTACCCCTGGCTCACTCCTTAACACTTAACACTTCCAGGGGCTGGTTTTCTCTAGACTCCTAAGCCTCTGGCGTTACTTGCCAACTCAAGTCCACTTCCACCTTCCCTTGTGGTCGGTCACCACAAATCACCCACTCTCCAGTTGATGCTAAACATCCAATAATAAGCAAGATTTGGTTTCATCCACCTAGCCCACCAAAATTTTGGATAGCATCTTCTGACAACTCTCTTGTAGAGTTGTTTTCAGGATGTTACTGGAGGACTGGAGACTTAATCTCTATCAGGCTGGAATGGGCTGCAAATTTCTCACATCTGAGATAAAAACTTCTTACTTTCATTTCCTTGAAATAATTCCCATTTTTAGACAACTTCAAACTTAATGCAACCCAATTCTGATTCTTCACAAGTCTCCTTTGAAACCCAGGGACTGAGTCTAGGTTTAGCAGATTTGTTTCCTGCTGACACTGCACAAGAAAGATACTGCCAGGGTGTGGAAGATCAGTCTTTTTACCTGGCACTCAGTGCATAGCAGCATGCAGAGAGTAAACACTTAGTCCCATTCAGGCAGGTCACAGCCAAGGAGACAGTGGCAAAGCTTGTCCTTTAACATTTGTTCTTTCTCCAGTCTTGTTTTTCATGTTCTCCTTCCTCAATCCTTCTCTGCCCTCTCCCTTTCTTGTTCTCACTTCTTCTAAAATCGTCTCTCTTCTTCCACCTTCAGCCTTGACTTTCTTTTTTTCTGACTGTGCAAAATCACCTCCCACCCAAGGAACTGCAATTCTCTACGGTTGGTGAGCTGCAAACAGGACTCTGTCAACAGAGCACTTGTGCTAGCAGTGCAAACCGTGTGAGCTCAGCCTGCTGCGTCAGAGGGAGGGAGCAACACTGCACAGAACACGGACCTCCTCCATGGCCAGGGTCAGCTGTTTGAGTTTCCATCCCTTGGGTGCAAGTGAATCTGCATTTAAGTGGGACATGTTCTCCAGTTCCTGCTTCTAAAAGTAGAACCCATTTAACTCAGCAGATTGCCCAGCTGGAACAGGCTATTTACAGCTATACCTGAAGCTCTGATAAGATAATGGTTATGTTGTAAATACCTATCCCATTATGCTGCCTTTGGTTAGTGCTTGCAGTCACACATGAACCAAATGGCTCCTCGTATACAATAACATCTGAGGGCTCCTTCATGAAGCAAGCTGGAAGTCCCATAGGATTTTTAAAATTTGTTTATTTTACTAGAAATTTCCTGAGACCTGGTAAAATCATCTGATTGCAGGGTAAAAAGCAGGCGTTGCAGCTGGGTCTCAAGGCAGGGAGTCAGGGTGGGCCATTTTTCCACTTTGGTAATTTAATAGGTGTACATTTCATTAACTGAGATCGGATCTGACATTTATTGGAATTATTAGAGAATGGTGAAAGGGGTGAGATGGAAGAACTTATAATAAGGTAACCATCAGAAAACACATGTGCACATCTCAGAGCAAAAGAGGATTTGTTGTTCCTTTCTCCCTCTGTCCTCTTCCTCTCCCAGATATATAGTCTGATTCCAAAGCAGAGAGAAGTGCTTCTACTTGGCCTCACCAAGCGTCTTCCCCGTTCTGTGTTGGTGACGAAAATGGTCAGCACTTGGGACCTCTGTCATGGCAAGAGGACAGAGTCTTCCAAGTGATCTGTGATGGGGAAGGGGCAGGGGAAAGACAATAATCTCCAGCTTGTATTTGAGGATGTTTGAATTTGAGGAACCCTTTCTCTTTCTCCTTTTCTGCACCACAGTCTCCACAGTTTACCAAGAAATATTTGCAGACCAGTGTTGTCTTGACATGGCAGGAGGCTGCTGAGGTGCTGCTTTCCACCAGCCTCCAGCATGGCTGCTCTCCCCTTGCCCAAAACACTTCATAGAAACTATCTCTTGAGTAGGTGTCCTTATGGGATTGCACACATAGTTACAGACCACACACAAGCTGCAGTCAGTGCTGGATGGTCCATTTGCTTCATGCTGTTCCTCTTGGAGAGAACGAGATCCCATTAAATGTGAAAGACATGCTCTGCTGTCTGCCCCAGTTTCCTGTTCACGTGAGGCAGCTCGTGCTAACCTTTGGGGCACCACGCAGAGCTCATCAGCATCTTGCCTGAGGTCATTAATAAGGCATTCTTCTTTTTCTATTTAATTGCTGGACCCATCCTTTCTTCAGCTCTGTGCGTCACTGTGGTTACATTCACACAGGCACTCCCAACCTGAGGAGCTGGAAAAAAGCATCCCCTGAATAATGCCTGAAGCATAGCAGATGTGGTTGTCTCCCCATACGAAATCATAATCAAGTTCATATGTGTCACTTAAACCCACTATTGTGTCTGTGCATCAAATAATTGCTGCTTGACCCATTAGGTGAAACAGCTACAAAACAGAAAGATCTTCTGGCGCCAGAGCTAGGACCGCAGAAAGTCAGGAAAAATTTTTAAGTGCAACAAAGTCAGCAGCTGGGATATCGTTCCAGGGTTCAGGAGACGTTTGTCCTGCCCCAGGTTCAGCTTCTGGGCCTTCATTTTTGCTCCCAGTCCTTGTCCATCCTTCCCGAGATACAGCCTGACTCCCTCATTAAGAGCTCGTACAGTGTCTAGCGTAACGGGGCCTTGACCTGATGCAGCCCCGAGCCCTGCCTCCATAAATCAAGTACAAGAATGGGATTACAGCACTGTCACCCGACAGTAATAACATGTGCTCCAGGTCAGAGACACTGAAGGGCAAGCCTTGCTCATTAAGAAAGAGAAAAATATGGGATTTTTCACTTGACATTATCAGGGAAACATGTTCATTCATGTTTACAGAGTTATTGTAAGAGCTTCCTACGACAAAGATATCCTCTTATGGTGAAAGTGAAACCCTATCTAGCTGCTCAGCCTGCTCTAGGCTGACCTCCAAAACTGAACAAAGCCCCCAAGACTGAAAGAAAGCAGATTTGGGGCCCCGAGAAAAGTCTCCAGCAGTGCTAAGCTCTTTGGCTGGATAAAGCCTCTGTACTATGCCAAACCACCCAGCAGTTGCATGTCTCTGGGATGAACCAGCACTCCTGGTAGAGCAAGAAACCAGCCCCCCTCTTATCTCTCTCATACCAGAAGAAGAGACTGGGGCCAGGGCCTGGTTTCATAGGCATTTCAGCCCCACTCCTAAGTGGATTTGGCCTTTTCCCACTTGGCTCAAAATGTAGTTCATAGGCAGTGGCAAAGGCTGCAGCTTCTGTTGGCCTCCAAGGGATTCTGGTATTGTGTACCCAGCACAAAACCCAAAATGTCTCAGTTTGAAAAAAAAAAAAAAAAAAAGATTTTCCACTGTAGGTTTCCTGCCTGACGTTTGCTTTTCTACAGAAGAGATTTTTGTTGAAACAAAGCAGTATGTCTTCTCCCCTTCCTAACATTAGCAAGAACTGATGTTCTTCCTGGACTCAAAGGAAAACTTTAAATTATACTATTACTGGAGTCACAAAAAAATAAAGGACAAGGCAACCTGTTGTGTAGTTTGCAAGCCAGGGAGTTCTTAGGGTTACTCACATCTATACCTGTTGGGTACCTGGTGTTCTGGTGAAGCATCAGAATGGTGACAGCTCTGGATCAGGTATGAGTTCCCCAAAAAGAGGAAAGGTACAGCTAAAGCAGACTGACATCCTTTGAAAACTGAAGACTGAGCTCTTCACCTCTGAAATCTATGGAATATTTCCCAGTTTCATGTTGTGAACAGAGTGACTCAGTCTTGGTTTGGAGCTGGGTATATCTGGCCCTACTGCTGAGGGAAGACTGCTCCTTCCCTTCACTGACCTGCTTGAAAGAAGGATCAAGATTTCCCAGGGCTGTGAGCAGGGCAAAGGCTAAGGTGAAAGCAAAGTCTGCAGCTCCTGCTGAAAGAATTAGTGATGGTCTAGGGCAGCCAGAGTCCAGACTGGCCAGATCCACTCAACAGTCAGAGGCATGCTGTTTCATCTCTCTGCACTGTGGTTCCCTGGTTGTAAAAGAGAAAACTTTTCCCTACCTCGGAGCAAATCCCTTGGTTCTTGTCAAGTACTTAACTACCGCAGCAGTGAGGGCCATATAAATTATAATTACACTGAGTGCCTGGTGCTGCTGCCCGGAACTAGCACTTCATTCTTTAGTGCACAAAATTTCTTTTTGGTGGGGAAATTAGCTGCTGCTGCTGCAACCCTAATTAGGTTCCCTGTCTTGAATGACTCATTTCAGCATATAGAAATCAGTTTTCTTTGTCTCTAAAGGAAGCTTGAAATCATGTTTTGGAATTCAAACCAGGTTATATTTGCCCATAACACACAACCCCCAAAGTCTGGTTAGGACAGGGTGGGGAGCCGCGGGTGTTAAACTTAGAAATGGATTTAATTAACCTTTGCTGTTTATTGCTTGCTTCCAGAGTTCAGCCAGGTTAGGAAAAGAACAAGGAACGGGTCACCCAGTGTTTACACAGGGCTTTTGAAGAATGGCCCAGACACTTTTTCCCCCCTCCTTTCTTTAAACATTTCAAGTTTAAAGCTGTGGCTTAATTTTGGAACCACGGAAGGGGAATGTTGATTCAGAGCATGGTAAATACGTGGTGGTAGGAGGCAATATGATCTCCTCTCTGCTGCCTTTCCCATCAGGCTATCTCTCTGCTTCCTCAGCCTTCTGTCTAGTAGGAGAGCTACTACCTATGAAGTGTCCATCTCTGCCCTCCCTTCCACAAGGAGCATCTGTGCCCTGATCCTGTGGCTTATTGAGTCACATCAACTCTTGGTTCAAAACATAGTTACTGTTGCATGCTGTTGCAGAAGGAAAAGTTGTTTTTCAGGATTTGATGAGCCCATCCAATGTTATTCAGCAGGAAGCCACTCAGTTTAAATAGACATCAGGCTGGTATAACCATTGCAAGAAGCTCTGAAGCTTAGGAGTGACAAAGGAAGATCTGTGAAATTATTAAATCAGCAAATTATACCATGAGTAGGAAAAAAAGAGGCAGCAGTTCTTCAGCTATTGATTTTTACTTTGTTCCTGGTTACTTAGAAAGGAGAGGAGACACTGGGAAAAATAAGAATAACAAAATGAAACAAAAAGAAATTTAGCACATTTCAGAAAGTAGTGTTTTTTAGTTCAACATGTGACTGATTCCCTCCTTAGTGACATTACATTACAGGGGCTTCTCCAAAAGTAATTGCCTCCTGTGTTACTACGTTGGCCTGTGATGTCAGAGGTGTGTGTTAGTGGTACGGCCATAGAGGTTGAACCTTCCTGTCAATATTCCCTGACATTTTGTCACCATGTGACAGATGGCAGCAGAGGGGCAGTCTGACAGAACAGTGTCTGACATGGAAGTTTTTATGAAGCAAAGGCGTGTCACCAAATTCCTCCATGAGGGAAAATATGGTGCTCATTGATGCTTGCTGAATGTTTATGGTGACCGAACAGTGAAAGTTGGACTGTGCAGGTAACATTTCGCTAGCAATGATGCTGTTGTATCAGCTGTGAAACAGTGGGTTATCTCTGCTGGTGCAGATTTTGATGAGTGCAGCACGTAGGCTCTTGTTCATCACCAGAGAAAGTGCAGAGCTAATGATAGTGACTATGTTGAAAAGTAATGTTTTGTGCCTGAGAATGTGCTCTATCAAATAGTGTCATTGTGCTCTGTGTATCTGTTGTAGTTTCCATGGAAATAAATTGGTAGGTATTACTTTCAGAGTGACCTACTTAGATTGCTGAATGACATAAATTGATATCCATTGATTTTGGTGAAGTTACATTCATTTGAAGCAGCCAAGAAGCCTGTCATGTATAGTCACGAAACAAAGGAAGAAGAAAGGAACCAAGACTTTGTCACTTTGAAGGGTGGAGATCACATAGGACAAGGCGTTCACTCCAGTATTGATTGTGACAGCAGCGCCTGTCTCCAGTAACTCCAATAGCTTCCACTAGGAGTTTCAAAGACTATAGGAGAATAACTCAGACTGGGAACTCAGTAGACAGAAGCAATGTTGTAAAGAAAGAAAGAATCTCCCAACAGAAAGGAAATTGCTGTAGCAAATAGCAAGGAAAAGAGATCAAATATCTAAAATATCTAAAATATCAGGGCATCCATATAGCAGACTACCGGAGCTTAGTTCCCTCTAACAATTAACCAGAAGATACCCCTTCATTTTGTAATGAACAAGCTGTACACTGGGCTGGAAGTAGAAAACAGAGGTTCCTCCAGTGGGATAGATGTGATGTTGTCTGCAGTCCTGCCTTACCTTTTAAATTTATGTTCACAGAAAGAAATGGAAGGAATGATAACCTGCGGGACAATCGTGAGTCATAAAACATTGATAATAATTGACTCAAAGAAAGAAAGAAGAGTTTTCTAGGAAAGCAAGCTAAATAAAACTGGATGGAAGGATGACTTAATGGCTACAAGACAACTGAGGAGACAGTAAGTGAACCTTTACTCCTTCCACAGAAACAGAAACAGACATAGTTCATTTCCCTTTGTTGATCTGTAATGTAATGGAAATTGAGATGGTCTTTCATTATGCTTTTGAACAGTGTCTAGGAGAGTGAAACCTCAGTCACAGCAAAGCACTTCTGGAATCCAAATGAAGATGGAGATGTCATGGAAACTTGGATCTAGATGATCCAAAGCATTCCTCCAGCCTTGCAGTGGAAGGCCGTGGAGATACTGCATGACAGTAAGTGGCAGTATTTGCAAAACAGAAGGGGATGCTTGCTCCTTTCTAATTATGGAGGAGAGCATGGTTGATTCAGCCTTAAATGGCCTCTGAAACATTCAAAGAGAAAATTTCCACTTGGACTGAAATATTGACTCAGTTGGTGGAAGCCAAATTCTTCAGCAGATTAGATGCACAGATAAAGTTTTTCAGATCTCCTTTGGCAGGGAAAGCCTGGGGCTGAACACCTTTGATATATTTATTGGACAGGTTCCAAAACATTTCACTATACAGATGCTACAAACCCTGTAAAAATTAAAGTGTCTGCTCAGGACATAATTGTCTGGGACAGAGCTGTCACTGAGTATCAGGAATTATTTCTGCACACACTTACTGTAAATTGTAAGCGGTAAAAGGTTTCAGTTGAACAAAATGAAGTTTTAGTTAAAAAAAAAAAAGTAAAAAAAGTAAAAGGCAAGGAAGGGAAAGTGAAAGGAAAGGGAAAGGAAAGGGACAGAGAAAGGGAAAGGGAGGGGAAAGTGAATGGGAATGGGAATGGGAATGGGAATTGGAACGGGAATGGGAATGGGAAAAGGAAAGGGAAAGGAAAAGGAAAAGGAAAGGGAAGAGGAAAAGAGCAAGAAATCTCTTATTTTTAACAGATATTGATACTAAAATTGTTAACGCAATGTTCTGGCTTTCAGAAATATTTTATCCATAATTCATAATGAGATTTTCACAACCTATAGCTTCCCAGACAAAACCAAGGCAGAGTGACAACAAGAAAAGTTTACTCACTTGTAGTATGTAATGATATTAATCCAAGTTGCATATTTTTTGACTTGTTAAGCATAACAAAGTTCTTCATGGATGCCACAGGTAGGGACTCATGAATATAATCAGTCTCCAATTTCATGAATCTCCAACTTCACTGAACTTGTTGCATGACTGAGCAGAGGCCTGAAGTGCACACAGAGAGAGCGGAAGTAAGAGAACGAGTGTTTGCACTGCTGAAGAAAACAATGCTAGGTCTTGCACGTGATTGTCTTGATTTGCCCAAGCATCTCATGGGTGATAAATAAGGCAGACAGCAGTTTCCTCTGAATCTAGAAGAACACTTCGTGAGGCTAGAGCTGATGGCCCAGGACATGATTAAATCATGACAGACATGCTGCTGAGATTAAATGCACTACTGATGATGGAAACAAGCAGGAACAGCTCATGCAAACACAGTAAAGCATTGTGTGCTGTATCTCCTGAGACAAACAGAATCTTCCAGAAATGAAACAGAGCAAGAACCAGTGCACACAACAACTGAAAATTTGTGTACACACTTACTCCCTCTATGTTTACATGTTTCTGGGATGAAAGAAGTAGGAGGATGACATGGAAGAGGAGGAAGTATCACAGAATCACAGAATCGCAGAATGGCCTGGGTTGGAAGGGACCTCAGTGAGTACACAGTTGTGTCTGACTATTTCTGCATTCATTTGGAGTCAGGGTTTGGCTTGCCCTCTGACACAGACCAGCCAAGCTACTCTGAAACCCAAGCCAACAAACCAGGTTTTCTGCTGGTATAAGTTGGCATTGGTCAACTGACTACAGCAAGTCTTGGATGACGTTTACTGGGATTGTCCCACTGAAGTCACTAGGCCACTGATCCAGCCTTGGCTCCAGAGAAGGGTGACAGAAGATTTTGGCCCTCTCCCATGCATCTTACAGAAGATTAGGAAGGGAGAGACTTCTCCAAAAGACCAGTGAGGTACACTGACAGTAGAGGGAAAGGGAAAGGAAGGCAGCATCAGCCTAAGCCAGCAGTGGACCAGGCAAGGAGGAGATTTCTTCGGAGGCTGATTGGGCAGCTGCCCTGAGGGAAAAGGCAGGCACAGAGGGAGCAGCTGCAGTGGGTGAGAAGGCAGAGTGCCCAGGAAGTGGGGCCAAGAGGGGAGAAGGGAACAGGACCCAGCAGCAGAGCAACTGGTGGAGAGGCACCCGCTGTCCTCTGACACATTCATGGTGTAACAGCAGCAGCTACTCACGGGACCTTTCTCACCCCACCACTGTGCTTCTTCAGCAAATTTTTTGCTGTGCTGAGTATTGAAAAATCATCTTTAAAAAGAGAAAAGTGACACGCTTTCACTAGAGGTGGTCTCACCTAATGCTGAAGTAGTCTAATAATTATTATTAAAAGTATGTTATCAGATACTTGTAACTGTCACACTAACAATATGGCTGGCAAATCCCTATGCTGGGTGTCTGTCTCAAGCTAATTTATTTTATTCATTTTTGGTTTTTGCATTTCTCCTCAAGTGGTGCGGCTATTTCTGACAACAAGAAGAAAAATGCATTGTTTCCTTCATCATGAAGCCGCCTTACTGTTGTATGACTCCTGTGCTTCAGAGCTGGCACCCAAATGAAGGTCTGCCTTCCTCTCAAGAATGTGCTTTTGGCAGCTTCCTTAAAACTGCACCTGCATGGCCAGCTCATAAGCCTCAGAAAAGTCAGCGTTAGCATTCTGTGAGCAGCAGAAGAAGGCCAAGCACTGTATTCCCTGAAGGATTCCAGGACATCCCTCCTGGCTCTGTGTCTTGTCTTGCAGGAGGTGGAGGTGCACCCATGTGCCCCCTCACAAGGACATGAGGGCAGTGGGACCAACTGCTGCTGCCACCATTGCCATTTGCTGTGGTCTCCAGCTCAAAGAGACCTGGACCTATTCTGTCTTCTGGGGCAGAAAGGTAAATGGAGATACAAATGGAAGGAGTTGGAGGCTAAGAGTGAGAAAAAAGTATGAGGCGTCATTCAGAGCTGAGAGGTGGGTGTGGGTGAGAGAAAGAGGCAAGACGAGAAGGGGAGCACCATGGTGCATGGGATGCATCACTCAAGACCACAGTGACAGAAAGAGGTGCATTCAAGACATTGAAAGTCATTTGTTGCAATTCCCCTAAAACCCTATGTACACAGGGAACTGTACAAAAGATACATTATGACTGCACAGTGGAGTGAGGAAATGTTAGTCTGGAGGCTTGCCATACAACATTAATTCCCCCTTCTTGTGCCTGTGCATTATAGTACAGCCCTTAAAGACATGATCACGTAGCTTTGTTGGATTTTTCCACAGGACCCCTGACTCCTTGACTGCCAAGCTGGGGGTGTGTAGCAAATGAGGGAGGGAATTGGAGGTGAAGAAGAGATTATCTGCTCATTAATGCAGCTGAACACTGCCTAGCCCTGCTCCTACGGCTGTCACTTAAGCATTTTCACAGTTGGCCAATAGCTCCTGCTGTGTTTGCCAGGCTACACCTGGGGTGTAGACACCTGGGGTCAGACTGGCAAAAGTACCAAGTGATCTGCATTGCAAGCAAAGTACCTTCAGAGTAACATTATGGGAGTCTCTAGCTCTAGAGGTTCAAGAATCCTGGGCATTCCCAGCAGAAACCCTGGCAGAAGTTCCCTATACCACAATCCCTCTCATTCCCTGATTCCCTCTCCAATTTGGGCGTCTTCAGCATCAAAGCTCACTAACAAGGGCATTCTAGAGGCTGCTCAGTTTTTCTTCTCTCATCTGAACTTCATGTCTTGCCCAAGGATGTTCTCAAGTGCTCTTATTTATTCTCTGAACTTTTCCCATCATTAGACTTTCTCGTCCACACACCATTCTCCACACTCCCTCCCAGTCCTCTCAACAATTTTCGTTTTCTTGTCCTTTTCTCACAGTAATTGCTCAGCTCTTACATTTGCCAAAAGCAATTGTTTTTGTTATATATCTGCAATTTTGTCTTTCACAACAGTAATCCTCTGCACTCTGTAGATTTTAATAACATGCCATTGTCTAAACATATATAGTGTGCACTTAAAAAAATGAAGAAGAAAAACAAACATGTAACTGTAAAGTGAATAGCCAGTTAGTGATCCCAGCTCCTCTAATCTCTCTGTCCTCATTTCACTTCAGTAAAATGGAAGTGGTGCTAGCTCCTTCTTCTTTTCGCAAGAGCTGCAGTAAGGGGAAATCTCTACATATTTGTGAACTGCTCAGATTTAGAGTGAAAGTGTCACAGAAAAGCCCATGAGGAAATGTAATCAGTTTGCACTCTACCCAAAGCTTAAGTGGTGTTCGGTAAACAAGGTCTGAGGTCAAGTGATGAGGGTAAGAAAAAATTCTGAATAGTTACTCAGGGAACACAGCAGTGATCTATCCTATACAGTGATCACCTTGTGACTGTGACACAATGCAGATGCATATAGAATGCTGAGGTTAGGCACAAAGAGTAATCGTGACTTTAGAATTTCTCGTTTCTGAGCACTTCATGTTTCCAGCCATGGTGCTCTTTTAATTATTAAAGTAATTATTAAGAGGTAATAAGAACATTGAGAATATAGAAATGAACATCCATCTATCTGAAGTACTATGCAGTTAACGTATTTAGAAAAACATTTCTCGGTTATCCTCCTGTCCTCTGTGACAACACAGAATTGGACTTCATGGAACGCAAGCCATTACCTTCTCTGGAAGCCTCAGGAACTGTTCTCATTCTTGTGAAATTCCCTGTTTAATCTTTTCCCCATGATATTCAAGGTAAATTTTCCTTTAACCCTATTCTCCCACCCCCAATTATACCTTTACAAACAGGCAAGCACCCTGTTAAACTCTCTGTCCTGGCTATGTAGAAACAATTAAGTGTGAGTAGGTACTACCATGCCCCATAAATGCAGCCAGCCATCATAGATCCAAACCAACAGGTTTGGGTCATTGTCCCACTGCAGTCTTCAAAAAACCTTGTGATCCATCCAGGCCCTCCATCACTATTGCTGGTTTGCCTGGCACAACACCCAGGTTAGCACTGGACCCTGGCTTGGTGTGCCACAGATTTCAGAGCAAGATTGCTTTGTGCGTGCTTTGCTTTAGTAGGACCAAACTCCAGTGACCGTCCTTGTGGCCAAACTGCATGCCAAGGTCTTATCAAGTCTGCTCCAATTGGTATTGGCACCTACTGTCTTCCATTTCTCAAGCCGCATGTCTGTCTTTAACTAGCACAAGTTCTCCCAGTATCACATCCACCAAGGTTTTCCTCCCTTCTTATAGGCTGTGTTTTTTTATGGGTTAATTAACACAGGTGTTTGTTTTGTGAGGGTTTTTCCAAGATCAAAATGCTAATTTTTTTGCTTGGCTCTCCAAAGTCACGTTGTATTTGTTCTCTGTCTAAACTTGCATTTGCAATTCAGCCCAGCTAAATAGCATTTGTTGATGCCATTAATGGCCTTTTAAGTCTCCGCAACCCGATTAATAGTGGAGATATTAAGTATACCCCAAAGTAATGTTTACAAAAGCACCCATGTGATTTAGAAGCATGAGTCCTGTCAAATATCTCCACGCCAACTCTGCCTTTAAAAGTAAAATTTACAGTCTGGCACAGACCCAGGGAAGTGGGAGCACGCTTTGTTTTTGGGGTGGTTGGGTTTTTTTTGTTTTTGCTTTTGGTTCTTTTGAAAGCCTATCTCACTGTAGCAGGACATCGGGGTGAACATCAAGTCAACAGTGCTCTGCATACATTCAGATTTTTTTCCTTCCCTCCCTGGCTTCTGACAGTTTTTAAAGGATCTTGCTTTCTGCCTTGCTTCCTGTTCAGCCACTCTTTTTTGTTTTGTCCTTGTGTTTTTAAAGAAGCAACAGGGACTCTCTATCATACTGGGCTCCACCTCCTTTATGTACAGACAGGGTCTCCAGTGCTACTCGCTTTCTCTACTCCTATTTGTAAAATTCTTTAATCTCCCCTTGGCAGAAAGAACTCCCTTTGCATTCCTCTAGCGTGCACTCTTTCCCTGCAGCAGTTAATGACTGAGCATTCTGATTTGGTTGCTTTCCCTGCAGCAAAGGATGTTAACATATCTAAACAAATACACCTGTTTATGCAGGAGCTAGACAGATACCCACAACAGAGAGTGCTTGCCCTGTCCCTCTGAATGCTCTCCTTTCTGACAAGCCTTACAAGTGCCTTATCTCAATTGAGCCAACCTCAGTTTACTTTCAGATCGCTGTATGAATCAGTCCCAGTTCTGAGGGAAGAACAAGAGGAGACACCTAGCTTCCTTCCTGGGCTCCTCCTACAG